ATTGGAACACCTGAATCACATGATTGGGAAGGGATTGGAACACCTGAATCACATGATATGGAGGGGATTGGGACACCTGAATCACATGATTGGGAGGGGATTGGAACACCTGAATCACATGATTTGGAGGGGATTGGAACACCTGAATCACATGATTGGGAGGGGATTGGAACACCTGAATCACATGATTGGGAGGGGATTGGAACACCTGAATCACATGACTGGGGGGATTGGAACACCTGAATCACATGATATAGAGGGGATTGGAACACCTGAATCACATGATTGGGAGGGGAGATTGGAACACCTGAATCACATGATATTTGGGAGGAGATTGGAACACCTGAATCACATGATATGGAGGGGATTGGAACACCTGAATCACATGATATGGAGGGGATTGGAACACCTGAATCACATGATTGGGAGGGGATTGGAACACCTGAATCACATGATTGGGAGGGGATTGGAACACCTGAATCACATGATTGGGAGGGGATTGGAACACCTGAATCACATGATATGGAGGGGATTGGGACACCTGAATCACATGATTGGGAGGGGATTGGAACACCTGAATCACATGATTGGGAGGAGATTGGAACACCTGAATCACATGATTTGGAGGGGATTGGAACACCTGAATCACATGATTGGAGGGGATTGGAACACCTGAATCACATGATTGGGAGGGGATTGGAACACCTGAATCACATGACTGGGAGGGATTGGAACACCTGAATCACATGATATAGAGGGGATTGGAACACCTGAATCACATGATTGGGAGGAGATTGGAACACCTGAATCACATGTTTGGGAGGAGATTGGAACACCTGAATCACATGATATGGAGAGGATTGGAATAACCTGAATCACATGATATGGAGGGGATTGGAACACCTGAATCAATGATATGGAGGGGATTGGAACACCTGAATCACATGATTGGGAGGGGATTGGAACACCTGAATCACATGATTGGGAGGGGATTGGAACACCTGAATCACATGATTTGGGAGGAGATTGGAACACCTGAATCACATGATTGGGAGGGGATTGGAACACCTGAATCACATGATTGGGAGGGGATTGGAACACCTGAATCACATGATTGGGAGGGGATTGGAACACCTGAATCACATGACTGGGAGGGATTGGAACACCTGAATCACATGATATGGAGGGGATTGGAACACCTGAATCACATGATTGGGAGGAGATTGGAACACCTGAATCACATGTTTGGGAGGAGATTGGAACACCTGAATCACATGATATGGAGGGGATTGGAACACCTGAATCACATGATATGGAGGGGATTGGAACACCTGAATCACATGATATGGAGGTGATTGGAACACCTGAATCACATGATTGGGAGGGGATTGGAACACCTGAATCACATGATTGGGAAGGGATTGGAACACCTGAATCACATGATATGGAGGGGATTGGGACACCTGAATCACATGATTGGGAGGGGATTGGAACACCTGAATCACATGATTTGGAGGGGATTGGAACACCTGAATCACATGATTGGGAGGGGATTGGAACACCTGAATCACATGATTGGGAGGGGATTGGAACACCTGAATCACATGACTGGGAGGGATTGGAACACCTGAATCACATGATATAGAGGGGATTGGAACACCTGAATCACATGATTGGGAGGAGATTGGAACACCTGAATCACATGTTTGGGAGGAGATTGGAACACCTGAATCACATGATATGGAGGGGATTGGAATACCTGAATCACATGATATGGAGGGGATTGGAACACCTGAATCACATGATTGGGAGGGGATTGGAACACCTGAATCACATGATTGGGAGGGGATTGGAACACCTGAATCACATGATTGGGAGGGGATTGGAACACCTGAATCACATGATATGGAGGGGATTGGGACACCTGAATCACATGATTGGGAGGGGATTGGAACACCTGAATCACATGATTGGGAGGAGATTGGAACACCTGAATCACATGATTTGGAGGGGATTGGAACACCTGAATCACATGATTGGAGGGGATTGGAACACCTGAATCACATGATTGGGAGGGGATTGGAACACCTGAATCACATGATTGGGAGGATGGGCCCAATACGTTTGGCAATATACAGTAGTGTATATAAATAAATAAATATATATATATCAGCAGAGACCCTAGAGAATAAAATGGCTGCCTTTGCAAATTTTTTTAATGCTGTGGCCGTGGAACGGATGGTCCTTGGCCATCTCTGTGGTATCCCAATGCCGCCACCGGATCAGATGCCGGGCTCTCGGATCGCACGGGAGAGCCCGGAGAAGCACAGGCGAGTGGCAAGAGGGTGGTGGGGGGCTGTACAATCCATCCATTGGCAAGGGTGACCTTTACTTTACAGGAAAGAGATAGTGGGGTGAGTCCTATAGCTGCAGCCATCATCTCGTTGTAACCACCTCAACCTAAGGACACCCATGGACATCCTATGGTCAGGAACGTGTTAGCTGGAGTCCGGATTCCATTTATTAGATACTTCTGTAAAGTCCATCTAAACCTACCAGTCCATCTAACACCACCCTCCTCACAGGGTGGCCAAGGGTGGCCAGGGGTGGCCAAGGGTGGCCAAGGGTTGGCAAGGGTGGCCAAGGGTGGCCAAGGGTGGCCAAGGGTGGCCAAGGGTTGGCAAGGGTGGCCAAGGGTGGCCAGGGGTGGCCAAGGGTGGCCAAGGGTGGCCAGGGGTGGCCAAGGGTTGGCAAGGGTGGCCAAGGGTGGCCAAGGGTGGCCAAGGGTTGGCAAGGGTGGCCAAGGGTGCCTGATCTCTAGGGATCAGGAAGGAATTTTTTTTTCCCCTGCAGGAGCAAATTGGATCGTGTTTTGCCAGGTTTTTTGCCTTCCTCTGGATCATCTGTGGGTGTCGGATTATAACTTTTTTTTTTTTAATGGTTGAACTGGATGGACTTTTGTCTTTTTTCAGCCAGACTAACTATGTAACTATGCTGCTTCTCCATTGATACAGTGGAGGGGTGAGCGCAGCCACCGTAAGGCAGAAAGTCTGTCACTGTCAGAGTCACCGGGTGAAGATAAAGAGAAAAAAACAAACCCAAAAAAAGAAAACCAATGCAGCCACCACATCTAAGGACTGGTAAACTCTAATATTTTGCATAGACTTGAAATAATGTATTTTCACAAAATCTCACAGAATATAAATGATTGGAATGAAGAAAACCACAATATTCCTGGCAAAAAAAAAAAGAAAAAAGTTTCAAGGAGTTTTACAAAGAGAGAAAATTCATTCAGCGAAGGAAATATATCTGACTTGGGCAGAAAGGCAATAATGAATGCTGAAATGTATCACCGAGTTCCATTAATCTCGGGGTAGAAATGATGATTTGTGTTTCCTTTTTTCTTTTTTTTTAATCTTTGCCTGGCGGCCGACTTCCAGAGGCAATGAGGATTTTCCACCTCAGAGAATAACAAAGGGGTGATGGATTGAAACGCGTGGGATCCGTGTTACCTGCCACAGACGAAGAGCCAAACGTTACACTACGAATCTGAAATTCATCGACTCGTGGCGCCCGTTTAGAGTTGATACTTTCCTACTGGAACCACGGCAACTGGTTTAACCCCTCGCCTACCGGGCACTCTCACCCCCTGCCTACCGGGCACTTTCACCCCCTTCATACCGGGCACTGTCACCCCCTGCCTACCGGGCACTTTCACCCCCTTCATACCGGGCACTGTCACCCCCTTCCTACCTACCGGGCACTGTCCCCCCTTCCTGCCTACTGGGCACTGTCACCCCCTTCCTACCTACCGGGCACTGTCACCCCCTTCCTACCTACCGGGCACTGTCCCCCCTTCCTGCCTACTGGGCACTGTCACCCCCTTCCTACCTACCGGGCACTGTCACCCCCTTCCTGCCTACTGGGCACTGTCACCCCCTTCCTACCTACCGGGCACTGTCACCCCCTTCCTGCCTACCGGGCACTCTCACCCCCTTCCTGCCTACCGGGCACTGTCACCCCCTTCCTGCCTACCGGGCACTCTCACCCCCTTCCTGCCTACCGGGCACTGTCACCCCCTTCCTGCCTACTGGGCACTGTCACCCCCTTCCTACCTACCGGGCACTGTCACCCCCTTCCTGCCTACGGGCACTCTCACACCCTTCCTGCCTACCGGGCACTGTCACCCCCCCCCTTCCTGCTTACCGGGCACTCTCACCCCCTTCCTGCCTACCGGGCACTGTCACCCCCTTCCTGCCTACCGGGCACTGTCACCCCCTTCCTGCCTACCGGGCACTGTCACCCCCTTCCTACCTACCGGGCACTTCTACCTCCTTCCTGCCCCTCAGGCACTTCTACCCCCTTCCTGCCTACAGGGCACTTCTACCCCCTTCCTGCCTACAGGACACTTCTACCCCCTTCCTGCCTACAGGGCACTTCTACCCCCTTCCTGCCTACAGGACACTTCTACCCCCTTCCTGCCTACAGGACACTTCTACCCCCTTCCTGCCTACCGGGCACTTCTACCCCCTTCCTGCCTACAGGACACTTCTACCCCCTTCCTGCCTACCGGGCACTGTCACTCCTTCCTGTCCAGGCCAATTTTCAGCTTTCAGCGCTGTCGCACTTTGAATGACAATTGCGCGGTCATGCAACACTGTACCCATATGAAATTTTTATCATTTTTTTGAGACAGATAAAACTTTCTTTTGGTGGGATTTAATCACCTCGGGGATTTTTTATTTTTTGTTAAAAAGAGCAAAAACTACAGAAAATTTTGAAAAAAAAACTTTTTTCTTAGTTTTTGTTATGAAATTTTGTAAATAAGTGATTTTTTTTCTCCTTCACTGATGTGCGCTAATGAGGCTGCACTGATGGGCACTGATAGGCTGCACTGATGTGCACTGATAGGTGGCACTAATGAGGAGTCATTGGTAGGTGGCACTGATGGGCATTGACAGGCATCACTGATGGGCACTGAAAGGCAGCACTCATATATGGCACTGATAGGCGGCACTGACTGGCACTGCTAGGCGGCACTAACTGGCACTGTTAGGCGGCACTGACGGGCACTGATGCGCACTGATAGGCAGCACTGACTGGCACTGATAGGCGGCACTGATTGGCAGCACTGATAGGTGGCACTGACTGGCATTGATAGGTGGCACTGAAAAGCAGCTCAGATGGGCATTGATATGTGGCATTGATGGGCACTGGCAGGTGGCACTGATAGGGCGCACTGATCATCAGTGCCCTGATGATCAGTGTAGATGTCCCCTCTGAGGAATGCAGATTACCGGCTCTCCTCTCCTCTGTCAGTGTGACGGCCAATAAGCGGCATTTCCTTACTTACATGCGATCAGATGTGATTGGACACAGCTGATCACATGACCGAGCCGACGTCTTCGGCTTTTTTTTTTCCGTTGATCGGTGATCCTCTGTGTCCCAGGGACACAGCGCACCACCGATCGCCGCGCTGCGCACTCCCGGATCCACGCATGCGCGGTTAGAGCGGGAGGACGTCATCTGACGTCCTCCCAGAACGAGAGAACCGCCTTGCGCCCATCATTTCCTTATATGGCGGGTGGGAGGCGGTTAAAGTAAGTTTGAAGACAAAACTTTTCTTTTTTTTTGGAAATGACTAAAGGAGGATTCAAGCCGTTGTTGGGGGTATTTTTTTTCACCATTCATGCCCCTTCACTACCTTCCCAGCAGAAAGTGGATGGAAATATCTCCTCCTGGATTGCCGTTACTGGAAAAAGAGTTCCCTCACTTTCTGTTCCAGAGCTTCCCTCACTTTCTGTTCCAGAGCTTCCCTCACTTTCTGTTCTAGAGCTTCCCTCACTTTCTGTTCCAGAGCTTCCCTCACTTTCTGTTCCAGAGCTTCCCTCACTTTCTGTTCCAGAGCTTCCCTCACTTTCTGTTCCAGAGCTTCCCTCACTTTCTGTTCCAGAGCTTCCCTCACTTTCTGTTCCAGAGCTTCCCTCACTTTCTGTTCCAGAGCTTCCCTCACTTTCTGTTCCAGAGCTTCCCTCACTTTCTGTTCCAGAGCTTCCCTCACTTTCTGTTCCAGAGCTTCCCTCACTTTCTGTTCTAGAGCTTCCCTCACTTTCTGTTCTAGAGCTTCCCTCACTTTCTGTTCCAGAGCTTCCCTCACTTTCTGTTCCAGAGCTTCCCTCACTTTCTGTTCTAGAGCTTCCCTCACCGTCGTTCCTGGTGACCATCATCACTATTATTTATTTATTACAGCTACGTCTCTATTGCTGTCAATGTATTCAGTGTGTTACACACATTTATTGTACGTTCACATCAGTCCCCGCCCTCGAGGAGCTTACAATCTAGGGTCTCTACATCACATTCACATACTAGGGCCAATTTAGACCGGAGCCAATGGCCCCACCAGCATGTCTTTGGAGTGTGGAAGGAAGCATTCAAACTCCAGGAGGGTGGCTCAGTGGTTGGGATTCGAACGGACAACTGTAGTGCTGCTCAGCAGAAGTGCTAACCACGTAGCCACTGTAGTGCCCAGACCTCCACTAGAACAAAGACACGAGTGAGGTCTGTATCCATCTGTACTGGGTCTGTATTCATGGAGACATGGATAGTCCAGGTGATTGCAGATATGTACCTGAGGACAGAGAGTTATCAGGGAGTACTAATGGCGGAGTGTGGAAGGCCAGATAATTGTGGGAATACTAGAGGCTGCTTGGAGACTCAGGGGTATTCAGGGGTGCACTTGGAGACATGGGGGCTCTCAGGGGCACACTGGAGACACAAAGGAGCACACAGGGAGTACTGAAGACACAGGACAGCACAGGGGTCACTGGAGACTCAGGAGAGCACAGGGGTCACTGAAGACTCAGAAGAGCACAGGGGTCACTGGAGACAGAGGAGAGCACAGGGGTCACTGGAGACAGAGGAGAGCACAGGGGTCACTGGAGACTCAGGAGAGCACAGGGGTCACTGGAGACAGAGGAGAGCACAGGGGTCACTGGAGACAGAGGAGAGCACAGGGGTCACTGGAGACTCAGGAGAGCACAGGGGTCACTGGAGACAGAGGAGAGCACAGGGGTCACTGGAGACTCAGGAGAGCACAGGGGTCACTATAGACTCAGGAGAGCACAGGGGTCACTATAGACTCAGGGGAGCACAGGGGTCACTGGAGACAGAGGAGAGCACAGAGGGTCACTGGAGACAGAGGAGAACACAGGGGTCACTGGAGACAGAGGAGAGCACAGGGGTCACTGGAGACTCAGGAGAGCACAGGGGTCACTGGAGACAGAGGAGAGCACAGGGGTCACTGGAGACTCAGGAGAGCACAGGGGTCACTGGAGACTCAGGAGAGCACAGGGGTCACTATAGACTCAGGAGAGCACAGGGGTCACTATAGACTCAGGGGAGCACAGGGGTCACTGGAGACAGAGGAGAGCACAGAGGGTCACTGGAGACAGAGGAGAACACAGGGGTCACTGGAGACAGAGGAGAGCACAGGGGTCACTGGAGACAGAGGAGAGCACAGAGGGTCACTGGAGACAGAGGAGTGCACAGGGGTCACTGGAGACAGAGGAGAGCACAGGGGTCACTGGAGACTCAGGAGAGCACAGGGGTCACTGGAGACAGAGGAGAGCACAGGGGTCACTGGAGACAGAGGAGAGCACAGGGGTCACTGGAGACAGAGGAGAGCACAGGGGTCACTGGAGACTCAGGAGAGCACAGGGGTCACTGGAGACTCAGGAGAGCACAGGGGTCACTGGAGACAGAGGAGAGCACAGGGGTCACTGGAGACAGAGGAGAGCACAGGGGTCACTGGAGACAGAGGAGAGCACAGGGGTCACTGGAGACAGAGGAGAGCACAGGGGTCACTGGAGACAGAGGAGAGCACAGGGGTCACTATAGACTCAGGAGAGCACAGGGGTCACTATAGACTCAGGGGAGCACAGGGGTCACTGAAGACAGAGGAGAGCACAGGGGTCACTGGAGACAGAGGAGAGCACAGGGGTCACTGGAGACTCAGGAGATCACAGGGGTCACTAAAGACTCAGGAGAGCACAGGGGTCACTGGAGACAGAGGAGTGCACAGGGGTCACTAGAGACTCAGGAGAGCACAGGGGGCACTGGAGACAGAGGAGTGCACATGGGTCACTAGAGACTCAGAAGAGCACAGGGGTCATTGAAGACTCAGGAGAGCACAGGGGTCATTGAAGACTCAGGAGATCACAGGGGTCACTGGAGACTCAGGAGAGCACAGGGGTCACTGGAGACAGAGGTGAGCATAGGGGTCACTATAGACTCAGGGGAGCACAGGGGTCACTGGAGACAGAGGAGAGCACAGGGGTCACTGGAGACAGAGGAGAGCACAGGGGTCACTGGAGACTCAGGAGAGCACAGGGGTCACTGGAGACTCAGGAGAGCACAGGGGTCACTGGAGACTCAGGAGAGCACAGGGGTCACTGGACACTCAGGAGAGCACAGGGGTCACTGGAGACTAAGAAGAGCACAGGGGTCACTGGAGACAGAGGAGAGCACAGGGGTCACTGGAGACTCAGCAGAGCAGAGGGGTCACTGGTGACAGAGGAGAGCACAGGGGTCACTGGAGACTCAGCAGAGCACAGGGGTCACTGGAGACTAAGAAGAGCACAGGGGTCACTGGAGACAGAGGAGAGCACAGGGGTCACTGGTGACAGAGGAGAGCACAGGGGTCACTGGAGACTCAGCAGAGCAGAGGGGTCACTGGTGACAGAGGAGAGCACAGGGGTCACTGGAGACAGAGGAGCAATGGAGAATCGGCAGTGCACAGGATGACATATATCATGTGTCCCCCAGTGATCAGACTGTACATTGTAACTTTGTAGAAGGAGGAGGAGGCATTTCCTCAGTCTCCCCTCCCCCAGCGACCATTGCACCTTCGTAGCAAGTCACAAGGTGGCTGCAGCAGGGGGCTGATCTGTGTCAGACATTTGTGAACTAGAACTGCACAAGCACCAGGCATTCATGGTGGTGGCAGAAGGTAGAAGGGCCGGGGAAGGGAATACAAACATTCATACATTCAGAAAAGGGAAAATCCTCAAAGTTGCTGAAAACTTAACAAGAAGTTGGAACTTCTTGAAGAGAAAAAAAAAAATCCGTACAAAATGTAATTGAAAAACATTCTTCACGTTTCAAGTAATTTATTTTTGGCTTTGCTGCAATTAATGATTTCTCCCGGGAAGAGGAGGGGGAGGGGGGCCTGGCGGTGGTCTTCATGATGCCTGCTGTCCTTTTCCCGTACAATAACTCAATCTGAGCGATGAACGGAACCGTCTGTTCTAGAACATGGACTTCGTGTGAAGAACGATTCCAGAACCGGAATCCAGCAATTCCACTCTGTGGGAGCCCAGGGAGCCGGCCTATTGGACAGAAGGGGATGCTGACAGTCAGAGAGAAGTGGTAATGGAGAGGAGGGGGTGCTGGAGCTCAGTGTCAGGATGATATGGGGGGGGGGGGTAACACTGGGGGGGGGGTAACACTACTGGGGGGGGGCACAAAGTACTATACTGGGCTCATTGTATTCTTTATCACGCTGAGTGTTTCCATTTTTATATGATATTTTATAGAGAGAAATTTCCTGAACAAATTATCAGCGTATGAGATTCATAATTCAGATGGTGGTTATAATGAAAAGAGAGGAGAGGAGAGGAGAGGAGAGGAGAGGAGAGGAGAGGAAAGGAGAGGAAAGGAGAGGAAAGGAGAGGAAAGGAGAGGAAAGGAGAGGAGAGGAGAGGAGAGGAAAGGAAAGGAGAGGAGAGGAGAGGAAAGGAGAGGAGAGGGAGAGGAGAGGAGAGGAAAGGAGAGGAGAGGAAAGGAGAGGAGAGGAGAGGAGAGGAGAGGAAAGGAGAGGAGAGGAAAGGAGAGGAGAGGAGAGGAAAGGAGAGGAGAGGAGAGGAGAGGAGAGGAAAGGAGAGGAGAGGAGAGGAGAGGAGAGGAGGAGAGGAGAGGAGAGGAGAGGAGAGGAGAGGAGAGGAAAGGAAAGGAGAGGAGAGGAGAGGAGAGGAGAGGAGAGGAGAGGAAAGGAAAGGAAAGGAGAGGAGAGGAGAGGAGAGGAAAGGAGAGGAGAGGAGAGGAGAGGAAAGGAGAGGAGAGGGGAGAGGAGGAGAGGAGAGGAGAGAAGAGGAGAGGAAAGGAGAGGAGAGGAAAGGAGAGAAATTGATAGGAAGGGGAGAAGGGAGGAGAGAGGAGGAGGAGGAAAGGGAAAGGTGGAGAGGGAGGGGAGAAGGGATAGGAAGGAAGGGGAGAAGAAAGGAGGAGGACGGGGAAAGGAGGAGAGGAGACGGTAAAAAAAAAGAAACAGAGGAGAAGAAAGGGAAGAGGAGAGGAGAGAAGATGAGGAATTGGAAGGGAGGAGAGGCGATAAGATTAGGAAAGTGAAGGGAAGAGAAATGGATAGGAACAGGCGGACTGACCATTTGGAAACTCTGCCTGAG